CGGAGCCCCCCGAACCCCCCAATACAGTAAAACTGCACATTTTAGAGTGGCCTTTTATTGTGGCCAGCCTAAGGCACACCTGTGCAATAATCATGCTGTCTAATCAGCATCTTGATATGCCACACCTGTGAGGTGGATGAATTATCTCGGCAAAGGAGAAGTGCTCACTAACACAGATTTAGACAGATTTGTGAACAATATTTGAGAGAAATAGGCCTTTTGTGTACATAGAAAAAGTCTTAGATCTTTGAGTTCAGCTCATGAAAAATGGGGGCAAAAACAAAAGTGTTGCGTTTATAATTTTGTTTAGTGTATATAGATATATTTGGTATATGTATACCAAACCTTCGAACGGTATATATACACACATATTAATGGAGTTTGAATGAACATTGCCAATTTTCTATGTTAAACAACAACAAAAATGGCAATTAATTAGAAAGAAAATAATATATTTATATAATACATACATATAAATTTTAATTTCTTTAATCAAAAGGTCTTCTTGGGAAAATTGTTTTAATTCATAATAATTAAACAGGTTTTTAATGTGTCGTCAGGAAGTGACAGTTTATGCTAATTATTAGCAATGCATTTTATTCAAGTCTATATGAAATCAATCCAGACATATATTATTATATGGGGAAACAGAGGAAAGCATAAAAATCATACTCACGAATTCTCACGTTATTGTACTTTGGCACTTAACCTGGGGTAGTTCCACATTTTTCAACATGGCCATCGTCAGGTGAATGGACTTTTGACATACTTTGTGCCTTTGCATACACAGGGCTGGCAAATCATTCTTTTGACATTTAATATTTAAGTGTAATAGTACTTCAGAAACTTAATAGTCATATATTTTACACCTTTATTCATGATGCTGCTCACATGCCTTCAAGGCTTCCACTTAAAAGCATTACTATTAAAACTTTTTAATTCATTTTCACAAACCGAGTGAAGAGTCAAACTTACTGTCTGTATTAATCAATGCCCATAGACATTAAAATAGAAAGTAATCCATGATATACTGTACCTTAAATGTGCTTGTGTGAGCTTAGAGACACTTAAAAATAAAGACAGGAAGCACTGGCGTGTTTATATAAAAATGAAATCTTTTTTTTTAATGGTGTATTTGACGATCCATTGTTGAAATTATGAGAAAAATACCCAGAGCAGATGAACTGGATGTGTTGAATAAATGCACCCGGGAGCAGAGCTCAGGGATTCACTAGTGCTGCTCTCGCACGCTTACAAACACACATTCTTTCATTAAGAGTTTAAGTCGATTTGCTAGACACACATAAGTCCAGAAACATACTCTAGAGCAGTGTTTCCCAACCGGGGTGCCGCGGCACCCTGGGGTGCCGTCTGTCGAGAGCAGGGGTGCCGTGAAAAAAATCCTTTTTTAATATTTTTAAATTGCTAAAATGTTCAAAAAAGCATCTATTATATAATATCCATTTCTGATGTCGCCAATAATTAGAGATGCACCGAAATTTCGGCTGCCGAAAATTAGTTCACCGCTCAGGTTTCACTTTCACGTGGTGTGACGCTCTGAGTATTATCCCGCTCTATGCGTGTGTGTGCTCCGCTCAGTCGCTCACGGCCCATGTGAGTGCTCCACTCATATACCGTTCATGTTCATCGGAACAGCAAAGTCCACTCAAAAATTGAGCCGACAGGAAACATCGATGTAGTACAGTATTGTTTCTGTCTGCAATAGCCCTACTGTGCTGTAACATGATGTGGTAAATGGGCAACTCTGGTAACACTGCCCTCATTCATTGATCTGCTAACCGCTATGTTATGCTCGCGTGTTCTGATAATAATAGCTTTCTAGGACTAAACATTAGATTTGGATAATTGGTAAAGAAAAAAAATAAATGTTAAATATCTTAACCCTACTGTTAGACCTACCTGAAAAACTAAAAAGCAATTTATTTAATTCGAAGGCCTGTCGTTATTTTTTATTTGTGCTATCATTATTAATTTCTTTATTTGTTCTTATTTTATTACTGACTGCTTACTTGTCATTTTTTATTCAATTCAAAGTCTGAAATCAATCTCATGCTACTGCACCAAAATTACCCCATTGTCAAATTTAAAAAACACTGAGTGAGCAAACATTTGTGAGATAGCTAGTTATAATGGTAATTAAATAATGTTTACATATGTATAAAAGCCTACATTAAAATCTGTCATATAAATTGGTCTCTTCATTAGAAATTAGCCTACTGATTGCCACCATTGATGGACAAATATTTTTAATAATATTAAAAATATCTATATGACATTATATTCTGCAGTTCTTCCCTGTTCTACCGAATATCTATACTTTTCAAATTATCACATCGAAGTTAGAAATTCAAATATTGTGACAATTTATTTTGTAGGGTGCCACAAGTTTGTTAAAATTTCCAAAGGGTGCCGCGACTAAAAAAAGGTTGGGAAACACTGCTCTAGAGGAGTAGGTGAAGGTAATTTCCCCTATAGCTTCATTTTAGAGACTGTTCTGAAAACAGTCAGAATACAATTGATAATGCAACTCAGATGTGTGTTGCATTCTTAGCATTACCACAAGGGGCGCTATAGCAAGCTTTAGCATAGTTTTCTCTTTCAGGTCAACTATACCGTCACGGCTGAGCAACAGTTTGAAGAGAATCTAGCTAAGTCAAAGTTAAACCATCTATAGCTAGTTACCTGAATAACAACGGTTTAATGGCACAGACATTTGAAGGTGACTCTGTTGACCCCTTGAGTTTTGACTATAGAGTATGTTTCTGGCCTAACATTTGACAGTCGGATGTAGTGACCATTTTTAAAGCACACCAATACTCTATTCTGATTGGCTGGATGCCATTGTTGAATTAAGACTGAGAAATTGGTCACCGAACTATTTTGCAATGAAACCAACAATTACTACAACCCACTGAGGGTTTCCTTTAAGAGCATATCAGCAGAAGGGAATGACAGCATCGCATTGAGATATTAATAAAGGGCTGCCTTCATAAAGACCATACATGTGTTATGCGGATCGTTCATGAGAAGACGTTTGTTCCTGAATAACATAACATAACACTAGGTTTGGTTAAATATGCAGTAAGTGAAGAGTAGTCTGTCTTTATGGTTACTGAGCAAACAAATTCCCATTGCAGAGCATTAAGTCAAAACGTCCATCATAACACCTTAAGAGTCAATTAAACAGAAAGGACACATTTCCAGTGGGGTAATTCTTCCTGATACCTTATTCACACACTGTTTACTCTGAAACTCACGCTCGCACACATTCGTACAGAAAAAAGTAACACCCAAACATGCTTGCATACTTAAAACAGTCATCCTGCTCAGAATCTCAAACACACACAGTCATCCTCCATCCACCCGCATACTAAATAATAGTATTAAGTAGTCTCTGGGAATTGGGAATGGTGGTGACATTTATAAAGGCTGCGTTTGCTGCTTCTTCATTCTGCTCTTGCGTTTCACAAGCTCTGTCTTTCACACACACTTACACACAAACTCTACGACACTCCTGTTATTGACTGACACGCAGGCGTCATTACCGATTCAATCGCATTTAGAGTGCACGACTTCGCTTAGAAACGCAGAGCCCATTCTTACTAAGTGTAAAATAAGACACAGTTTCCTCTTTGGATCTCCACCAGGTTCCCGCTTCAGCTACCAAGAAATTGGGTGCTGATGACAACTTCGAATTTGTGTCGGCCAATAACATCACGCAAGACATTTGTCAGATCGGACAAACGAAACACCTCTAACATTCGGTAAGGTTATATTAGTACACTTAGCTCACGGGATTTTCGCATACAGTATGCTGAAAGCTTAAATAATGGCTATGGTCCACGCTTTGTCTGTCCGTCCATCGGAATTTGCAACCGACGTGCAAATACACACGAAAAAGGACTACAGAACACACCTTTTCAAGTCTTCACTGATTATGAAAAGCTAATAAATTGCATCCAATAAGTGTTAGGCAGCTCTGTTGATCTCAGTGCTGTGAGTTTTACCTCTTTGAGGGACGAAAAATCCCTTTTAAAAATAATTAAAAGAAATAAGACCATAACAAACTAAAAAATAAAGAGACAGACCGTTATCGTCACAAATTCATGGCTGAAATGGCAGCAGACATTTAAGCAAATACCTCTATACAATTTCATTCGATTCATTCTTTTAAAATCTGCAGTGAATATAATTCCGATAATTTTTATGTATGTTTTTTTTTTCCTTCCGTGGGCGAATGCGCCAGTAGAAGTCTTCACCTCTTAGTTTTAAGTTCAGGCTCAGTGCTTTAAGTTAGTCAGTCATTTCTGACCGTCTTCGCAGTAGCGACGAAGAGCATCACGCATTTTGAGTCCTTCCTCTCCGAGACGTCCGCAGGATATCCTGGAGCACAACAGAAGGGGGGAGGGGCATATTCGATGGTGGCGCTAAAGTTCTGTCTCTTTCTCGTTCGCGGTGCTCCTCTCCCGCTTGATTTGACCTGGGGATCGCAGCCTTTTCCTCCTCGTCAACCTGTATTTTCCGTCCCCCTCCCCCCAGCACTGCTACCAGCGGTTGAGGATGTGATTCATGTAGTCCTCCGTGGGTAATCGGGATGCCTCGGACTCCGGCATGTCATCCCTGAAAGCAGGATCGGAGCTGGGCCCCCGACGAAAGTGGAAGAGGGGCTGGTTCTTTAGGCGCTGCTCTCTTCGCTCGAGTTGTCGCTTGTACATGTAGCGCTGCTGAAAAAGATCCCTGGCGTAGTCGTACAACTGCATGTCCAGGTCGTTGAGCTCCTCGATCCGCTGCACCGTGTCGTTGTCCAGGTCCACGCCGGCGGCCCGCGTGCTGTTGTACTGCATGAAGGGCCGGATGAACTTGAGGCGGAAGGTCCGTTCGAACAAGTACTGCGTTTTGCGCTGGAACTCGGTCAAGCCGAAGAAGGCCATGTCTCGTAGGTTCTTCTTGGCTGACTCGAGTAGCACCTGCGCGCGCTTCTTCTCCGGAATAAAGGACATGTTGTAGCAGCCCACCAGGCTGAGGTCGGCCAGCATGCGCACCTGTCGGTTATTCGCCAGGTTGTACGGACAGTCCATGAACTGTTGTAATGTGCAGCCCGACCAATCGGTGCCCTCGTAGCAGGGGGGCAGCTCCTCTGGTGTCGGCGTTCGCCCGTCGCACATGTGCAGGGAGGTTTTCCACGTGGCCCCGCGCTGGACGTGTCTCCACTCACTTAGGTACCGAGACACGGGGTCCCGTAACAGGGTAATGTAGTAGAACTTCCTGTAGGATGACAAGAAACAGAAATGATTAGGACATGGGTAAACAGGGAATTTTTCCAGTTTGTCCATTTCGGGTGATATCTGGTATTTATCATCTAGAGACACTCGTGAAAACGTGTCATCAAAACAATTTTGAATTTTTGAATGGTTTTTAACACATAACCAAATAGATTTTTTTGGTGTGGTTCACAATGACTAATTGACCTATATCTTCTTAAAGGGAAGTCGAAACTTAAAGTGTTAATGAAAAAATGAACATTCTGTCGTTAATTACTCACCCTCATGTCGTTCCAAACCCGTAAGACCTTCGTTCATCTTCGAAACACAAATTAAGATATTTTTGATGGAATCTAAGAGATCTCTGACCCTCCATAGACAGCAATTATATTACCACGATCAAAGCACAGAAACGTAGTAAGGACATCGGTAAAATAGTCCATGTGACACCAGGGGTTCAACCGTAATTTTACGAAGCTACGAGAATACTTTTTGTGCGCAAAGAAAACAATATTAACTTAATTTATTCAGCAATTCTTCTCCCCGAGTTACCGTCTTCCGCCATTTTGGAGAGTACTCCAGAACGTAATAAATGTAATGAGCATTGTTTACATTCAGTAGGCTGCGCGCGCATGCTGAACGTAAACAACGCTCATTTCAAGTATTCTCGTAACTTCGTAAAATTATGGTTGAACCCCTGGTGTCACATGGACTATTTTACCGATGTCCTTACTACGTTTCTGTGCATTGATCTGCACTGTAAAAAAAAATTCTGTAGTTTTTACAAAATAATTTTGGCAGCTGTGGTTGCCAGAATAATTTTGTAAAAAATACAGAAAAATTGTAAACACATTTACAGCCAAAAACTGTACATTTTACAGTATAAAACTAATTTACAAACACTTACTGTTAACCTATTAACAGTTTTTTTCCGTAGCGTTTTTTTTTATTTTAATTTTACAGTTAAAATTACAATTATTTTTTACAGTGTGGGTAATATCCTTGCTGTCTATGGAGGGTCAGAGATCTCTTAGATTCCATCAAAAATATCCTAATTTGTGTTCCGAAGATGAACGAAGGTCTTGCAGGTTTGACACGACATGAGGGTGAGTAATTAATGACAGAATTTTCATTTCTGGGTGAACTATCCCTTTAAGACAACTTACAGACAGACAACATAACATTCTGAAGATACATGTCAAATTTCACCCATAGGGGGGCGCCACAACTACAAAAACCCTCATGATTACTATGCAAAAATGTAATTGTGAAACATTTAAAAATTAACATTTGATGTACATTATCAATCATACAAATGAACAATAATGTCAATCAAAATTCAGCAAACAAAAAATTAATTTCTCAAAGTTAACATGAAATCAGTTTTTTAATTGAATTTTGCAGTGTTATAAAAAATCTAACTGTGCACATTTTTTAAATCAATGTGTCTTTTTGTAATCTTTGTACACTTCCCCGTTTTATATTTCTTTCTTGTTCAAGAAGCCATTTCGCTCAGATATATGGAACAATGAGAAGAAAATATGATGACAATTTCCGTTCCATGCCAAACTAAAAGCCAGTAACTAACTGTCATGATGCTGACTGTCCAATTTTGTGAGAATTGGCCACAAGGTGGTAAAATATTAAATGCATTTATGTTTCTGCTTTTACATTTCTGTCAGAAACCTTTTGGAACAGGAAAAAAAAAACTTTTCGAATGCATCAATAATGTGGACCTAAATTTGAATAATTGTAAAACAACAAAATTCATATCAATTACTGCCAATATTTGCTATAAGCAATGTTCCCATTATTTACTTCTTCAATATATGTTAGTTATCCAGGGTTTAAAAAAAAAAAAGAAGAAAATCTAGTCAACTAATCGTTTAGACAGCCCACTAACTAGTCAATTAGTTTTGCACATTCTTACAAGGAAAATAACTTTGAATTGTAACAGCTGGGACAGAATATTGCTGACACGACTGTGTCTTTAACATTCTCTGCACATGCATTTTTTTATGGGTTTTTATTGACTGAATAAAAAAAAATTGAAAAAAAAATTCTCATAAACCTGAACTCTAGCTACATTATTCACATCATAAATATCTGTATTGCAGTAAAGGACCAACAGCAGCCTCATGGTAATCTTTTACTGGTAGGTAAGAATTATAATATCCTCGCCTCCAGCTTAAAAATAATTTCAGCGCAAACCTGTCGTAAAGGGGAAGTGAACTGTAGAGCTCTTGATTCTGATATGCTTCAGTGAGACTTCATAATGCAGATGAAAAGAGCATAACATGTCCCATAACACCTCTTCCATTCTGAACCTGCACTCCAACACCAAATTAGTGAATTCTTGGATGCGTCCCTCTTGTGCACTTGAGCGTACGTGGTGCCGAATGAATCAGACATTAGTGCAGCGAACGGCGGGGACTTATTTATTTTAACAGCTCTGCTGGAGATGCATAAATGTATTCATCTGTGAAAGACAGGACTGAAAACGACAACAAGTCAACCACAAGCTCACACATTATGTACAGCACTGACCCTGAGGGTAAATGAACAGAAAATTCAACAAATTCATCAGTAGTACATTCAGTTTGTTTTCTAGTAAAAACATCTTTAAATATGCTTATAATAACATTGCCATAAGATATTAAAGTAGTACTGTGTTAAATTCAAGCTAAGCCATGAGCATTATGCACAGTGATGACCCTGAGGGTAAACACACAGGCAAAAAAATCTCTTTCAAACACAAATCCCTATTTCTAATCAGTATCCTCAAAGTGTTTTCTATACAAAACATCTAAACATCCTTGAAGTAGCATATATTAAGATAATGAAATAATATTCAGAGTTAAAATACATGCACAACTTTGACCCCTAGCTTAAATGTAAAGAACAAACGCCTTTGTTGCTTCAATTTCTTACACCCTATGCTGAAAACAAAAGTCAGATTTTTTGTATTATTATTATCATTTTTCTATCAGTATTTTTCGCAACAAACAATCTTCACATTTATAAACACTCCATCACTACTGTCTGGCACTTGTGACTTCTGCTAAAAGATTCAGTGTTTATTCTTCAATATCCTACAGTGTGTCAGAGCCACTCCTGTGGAGAAGACAGTGTTAAACACACTTCCAACACACTCTTTCTTTGTGAACGTCACTCTATTCTTGTTCTGTTAGCTTTCAGCTGTCCTCGTGTGATGTCTGTTCATACACAGATCTGTCCCAGACAGATGACAGAGTTGGAAAAGCATGCAAAAAAAGGACCAGAAAAAAATAAGAAAACAGACAGCAGTAAAAGACTGGACCTTGAATCATGTTGAACAACAATACTGTTTTTTTTTTATTTTTTTTTTTTTTTAGAAATAATAATAATAATAATAATAATTTATTTTATTTTTTAAAAAATGTTTAATGTCATACTGGTCTAATTAGGCACATACTTTAATTCATTAAAGTGCTTTGATGGCTAATTATTTTGATAATTAATACATTTTAAATAAGTAAATCAATCTATAACGATAAACGGTAAAATTATCTATAATTATATTATCTATAAAAAATAAAATAGTAATATTTTAGTAATATTACTAATAGTAATATTATATTTCTCAATATATATATATATATAATATAACATAATGCATATAAGTTTTTTTAATGTAGAAATGAATACTATTTTTAATAATAATAGCTATCATCAACTATCTGCCATAACATCACCTTTCAGTATCAAACAAAATTATACGTTAGTGCATCCCTAGTTGTCTTCAGGTCAAATTATAGAAAGCTATACAAAGAAGCAATAAAAAAGAAATTGAAAGTATTACTCTATATGCTAACTTTTTGAAAGGCCAACAGGTACAAGAGCACTGATGTGTATTTTTCTGTACACACATGAACACACACACACACAAAATCACTGTCAAAATTGAACACACATAAAGGATGCGTGTGGCCAATGGAATGATGCAGTTTAATGCTTTTAGAAAGAGCCAACAGGGACAGAATAGGCTCAAAAAACCACACACACACACACACACCCACACACACACACACACACACACACTGTTCTGATATACAGCAGCATTCAGCATAATTCTTGCAGAGACCCAGAAAGAGCGAGAACACCAGCGTTTAACCAGAATTTCGATCCCAGCGTGTGCCAGCCTGGAAATATACATAATCTAGTGAATTCTCCTGATCTGAGAACAGAGCAGTTGCTCTTTCCTCCTCGTTCTTTGCTCTATTTAATGTATTCTCTCCTGTTGGTTTACACGCTCAGCGCCACCCTATCCGATGACCTTTTTCCTCTGTTTTCAATCATGGTGCGTCTAAAGCCACACTCCTCTGGGGCATCGCTGGGTCGTGAGCGGCTTACTAACATGCACTTCACATCACGGCCACTCGGTGGTGATATACACACAGAATTCTCAAGGATCTTTGTGTAACTAAGATGTGCTTGCATATGCTAACATTAAACACAAATTTAGAGCCTCGGTATCAGTCACATTTAACTACACTCCACTCAAGCAGGATTTCTAAGGGAAACTAATCAGCTAGACTGGTGTAGAAACTACATGTAAGAAACAGAGAAGAGACAGGGAAAGCTTTGATGGCTATTTTACTCTTTTATACCATATACTTTTGAAATAATAATGCCTATTAGATAGATAGATAGATAGATAGATAGATAGATAGATTACCCAAACTAAAAATATATAATATAAAATCCCAGTAATATATAACATATACAGTATAAATAATATTTAAACTGAACAGCTAGACTGTTTTAGGAAAGCAGAAAGACAAGGAGAGATTTAATTTACTTTTTTTTTTTTGATAATTCATACATTTGAAATAATATAAAATTATAATTATATATTAATATTTTAATTATTTAAAAAAAGACATCAAATCAACATATTTTGATTCCTAATATACTCGTAAGTACAAAATAAATGATAATATATAATAAAGTAAGACGCCTAAG